TTTTGTGTTTTTAGATAATCTGTGTAGAGTTTTAGATCCCTCAGTTGAGTGAGTGGTACTGGCTGGGCAATTGGAGGGAAATTGATGGCCCTATTTAAAGCCAGTCTCTACCAGATGCAGGAGAGAGGAGAGGTGAGCTGTGTCACCAGATCCATGTTATGTTGAGTTTTGTTAACTGAATTGATTTGGGGGGAAGTTTTGTTAAGTTACATTAAATTAAGTTCACTTTAAATAAATTGCTCACCTCTGGAAATCTGAAATGTCTGCGTAGTCTGCTTCCCTACCACCTTCCTTGACGTTCGAGTCTGACTACTTCCCATACCCTCATTGAGTAACGTAACAGAATATGTTAAAAAACACATTTCGGGGCATGTATTGTGTAATCTGTAGTGGAATACATTTAAAAAATAACCTTCCCAACACTACATATGAGGCAGCATTACTTTTAAGCAAAAAAAAAAAAAAATATGTTCATCTGAATCTACACACCAGGTGCAGTTCAGTCAAGCTGACGGTTGCATGTAGGCCAAAAAGAGCCTCGTGATATTTGACTGTCAGTACATCAAGGGTTAAATCCAAGAAGCCGAAAGCTGTAATTCATGTGGGTGTGTTCAATTCAACTGTACACTCCTCTGCTGCTCATTCAGGTGTGGCAGACACTGATAGGACTGATAGAGCAGAATAGGAACCGAGCTGTTTTTTTTTTTCACTTTAGACAAAGTAAATCTGACACCTTTGAAATGCCTGAAATATGAATAAAACAGTTTCTAAGTCAAAGTCCTGATATGTATTAATCTTTGTTGGTAATCACTGGTATTGTTACATCAGTGGTAACAGGAGTGCTGCTGGCTGAAACTATGCTGTAGGCAGGTACCGGTTTGTCTAGTCTGAAAACTTCCGTGGAAGACTAAAAACAGGAAACATCATCACATCAATCATCGTCACACAAAGCAGTTTTGTGAGATAAAAGATGAATGGTAAAGATAATGACTTTAGTGAGCAGACCAGGATCAACCTGTTCAGACTTGATTGTGTTTGACTGTCTCATTTTATACCTTTAATATTTCTGTCTGTGGCCTCATTTCATCCCATATCAATCCCTCCACCAGAGGGATTAATAAAGTTTCATCTAATCTAATCTAATCTAAAAGCATGGCTGCAGGGCGGGCCCGCTAGCATGGCTAAAGAAACAACCATTTAAGCCACCACTTCAGATTATCTTCCTCTGCAACATCAGGTCCATAACCAACAAAATTGACGAACTGAGATTACAGATTGCAGTCAACAAGCGTGTACGGTACAGCAGAATTTTACTACTCACTGAGTCTGGGCTACAGCTATGGATTCCGGACTCCGCACGGTCCACCATCACGACAGGGATGGCCACTCTGGTAAGAACAGAGGAGGGGGATTATGCATCTACACCAATGACAGCTGGGGCAAAAACACAAAAACTGTAGACAGCCACTGTTCTGTGGATTTGGAATATTTGACTGTGAAGTGAAGACCAGTCTACATACCTTGAGAGTTTACTGTTGTCATGGTAACAGCCGTGTATGTACCACCCGATGCTAATGCTAACTTGGCCATGGAGAAGTTGCAGAAGACAATAAGTAGTCAGCAGAACTCCCATCCTGACGCAGTGCACATCATAGCTGGGGACTTCAACCATGCTGACTTAAGCCAGTATTCCCCAACGTTGAAAAATATATTAAATGTGCAACAAGGGGGGAAACACACACTGGATAAAGCATACAGCAACATCCAAAAAGGCTACAGAGCAACCCCTCTACCACATCTAGGTTTGTCAGACCACATGTACATGCTACTGATCCCTGCATACACTCCCGTTAGGAGAAAAGCCCTCCCAGCAACAAAAACTGTGCAAACCTGGCCAGAAGGTGCATCACATCAGCTGCAGGACTGTTTTGAAAACACAGACTGGAGTATGTTTGAACATCAGGACCTCAAAGTGCACATCTCATATATTAACTTCTTGTCAACAGTGTCACTGTGGACAAACATCTTCAGGTGTATTCCAACCAGAAACCCCGGATGAATAAATAGGTCCAGGTTCCGCTAAAGCAACGTGACACTGCTTTCAGATCTGCTGATATTATGCAGTACAGTGCAGCCAGATCTGAGCTGAAAAGTGAGCTGATTTAGTGCTCAGCTCAGATAAAATAATTATTGTGGGTGATTTTAACATTCATGTAGCCTCAACATGGCATTTAATCTGTTATTAGACTTAATTGGCTTCTCTCAAAATGTAGAAGAACCCACCCACCACTTTAATCGCACTCTTGAACATTTAACAGTGTTTCCTGAAAACCCTCTCCTGTCTGATCATTTCCTAATAACATTTACATTTACAATAACTGATTACACAGCAGTGGGGTGTAGGGATGGGTATCGTTTAGGTTTTATCCGCCAATAGCGGTGCCAAACCGGTACTTTTGAAATGGTGCCGGTGCTTAAACGGTGCTCGAACCAGTGCTTAAAGAATGGAGAACACAAACTTTGTCCAAAAACCTCTCATGTTTTTATTTTTAGCAGTCTCTTTTTTTCTGCTAAATGATGACCAAGTTAGCCTTTATTGTTGATACAACATACCTCCTTTTGCTGGAAGCAGTGCTCTCTGGAGCTATACGGCATCGCTCTTGGCTGATGGCATGCCCAACACAAGAGAAAACTCTTTCAGAAGGCGTTGATGAGGCCGGGACACAAAAGTATTTTTCTGATAGGGCAGATAAATTTGGGACTGTATACCTCTTACTCCACCACCAGGCCACAGGGTCTAGTCCAGAGGGAATTCCTGGCTCTCCTTTGTATATTTCAAGCTCCTTCTGTACCTGCTCTGTGATGAAGGGGACTCTACCCGCTTGAGAAGCAGCCTGTTGAAGCAGTCTGTCCGCATCCTCAAACAGATTTTCTAAGGGTGACTTCTTGCCCTTTCTAAACTGAAAAACAAAAAAAAACAAGTGTGAGGTTTGCAAAATAAATAAAGATCAATTTTAGAATGTAGTGGTAGTGGTTGTGTTAGAAAAACTCTGATATTTGTCTGGCTTGTCCATCTCAGCATCATCCACCTCGCTGTGTGCTTTGGGGTCCTTGGTGGGAGGCTTTGGACACACAGATAGTAAAAGAGCATTCATTCAACATAGAAACTACATCATTCAAAAGGACAAGATTGTACACACACAGTGAAAATACCTGTACAACTGCTACTGTGGCATTTGCAACTGCTGCCTTCTCCAACCTGTCCCAGATGTCAGTAGCTGCCTCACCACCTAGCCTACCTTTAAAACTTGAGTCCATCATCGTGGCTTCCTTCAGAAATTTCTGAAGGTTTTCATCCTTTAAGTAAAACAAGATATAACATAGGAGCTGATACTGAAAAAAGGTACCCCCATTTTTCATGACTTTTCATTGATTTTGTCTGCAAATACCTGATATCTGTTCTGCAGACTAGCCCAGACTTTCTCTTTTATTGAAGAGGTGAAAACACTGTCTTCATCATCTGAAATGTGCCTCCACCTTGGCCTGGATGGGGATGATTTTGATAGGGATTCTGAAAGGGACTCAGGCACAGGCCAGGTTTTTCCGTTATGCGAAAGACAGTGCATTTATTTACAGTGAACGCAAGTGGCTATATACAATGTGCAGGGGAAAGGGGTCCAGGTCGCCAGGGTCCGTGGGGAAACAGCGTTTAGGGAAAAAGGTGCTCCACACTCTCTGTACAAAAGCTCCAAGTCCTCCTCTGCCACTCCTCTCGTAATCAGGTTCTAGAAACGATCTACACACAAAAAGGTCAGGTTAGCGGGATAGTCACAAAAGCTTTAAAGATTTAGGTTTGCAGATGCACAAGTTGACTGACGCTGATAGCTCAACGATCCAGCAAAGACTAGCGTAGATCCGCCATCTTAAGTAGCACTGCAATCAGCTGGGGTCAGCGGTGCGGTGATGACAGCAGGTGTGTGGGCCAGCAACGAGAGCCTGCAGTGAGCATTGCCGGGGGGAAAGAGAGTGAGCAAGAGGGGAAGGGAAGGAGGGAGAGAGCAAAAAAAACAAAAAAACATATTGCCTAATAGAGGGTTGACCAGCGAGGCACAGGGACCATGACAGATTTGGCTGCATGTAGGAGACTTGTCACTTGACATACACATGGTTGATGTGTACAGGACTTGCATGTACTTAATAAACTCCTCTGATTTGGATCTGATTTGGATCTTATATGATTTTATCCATATCCATAACCCGGCGCGTACCTCCAGAACGCGGAAGGTAACCTTTTGCATTCCTTAGGAACCCCAGGGGACGTGACAAAACGTCGGGATCTTATTCCTCAGGAGTGAGAACGGGCTGGTCATTCACTCACTCCATGGGCTTCCTCAGCTGTTGATCCAGAGCAGCTGCCTGGATTGCATCAAAATACTCCATAAATCTCTCCACCATCAGGAAGAGAGAATTCCAGCGCATCTTAACATCAATAGTGACATTTTGCTCTGGCAAATATAAATCACAGATAGACACAAACATATTTTAAATTACTATAAAAAAGGTAATATGAATAACAACACTTCTTGATATGTAACTGCATGCGCTACTTACTCAGGAATCGCTGCTTTTCTCTGAGCACAGTTTTGCTCAAGGATGAACGCTTGAGCTGCACCACAACTGAATGGATTTTGGCATACTAGCTGGAAACTGCAGGACTCAGGGGCGATTTTAGCCCATTTTTGGGGGTGCTTAAGCACCCCCAAAATGAATCAAAGCACCCCCAAAGATTTCTTACTTTTTTTGACAATATTTGCTGTTTGTGTGACACACTACTAAAAAATATAAAAAGCATACAGTACTGTACTTGTTTGAGACGTAATATTTTAACAACAAAAGTATCGATAACCCCCCCTCCCAAAATGGTTTGTTCCAGCTCTCTCCTGCTCTGGCTCTAGCGCTCTT